TAGATATTTTTTATCTCCAAATGTGGAGTATTTTTGTCTTGGACAGGGTCGTCTTAACCACTAGGCCACTAAAATCATCACTTGGGGCCTCATATTTTTTGGGGGCCCCATTTAAAAAAAAAAGGTACTTATACATATTATTAAAGAAATCATATTAATTTTTTGGAAAAAAAAAACGTGTAAGAGGTTTTATAGTTTTTCTTGAATTATTGTTGATATTTTAAGTATATGTAAATTATTTTAATTATTATTAAAATTTATTCAATTTTAATATGTCAACTATAAAACATGATTCCGATTTTGCAAAAAGAGAGAACTTGGAGAATTAAATAAATCTTAAAAAAGAATCATTGATAGGATTTTAACAAATAATAAATATTTCGAATAAAAAAATATTGGAGGATGTTCTTCAAATGAACAAGTAACCAATAGAATTTAGTTAGATGATAATAATATCCAAAAATAAAATCTAGAAGAGTTAGTGAAACTGTGACATTGTTCCCGATATCAAGAACTCCTAAATAATTTAAATAGTTGCATCCCTAAAAAAATATATATCCAAGTCAATGAAATAATATCGATACAAAATTGAGAGATCTATTAGTATAAAAAGGGACAATTTAGAATGACTAATATAAATTCTCCACATAATAAATACGTACGACATTTTCTACAACACACTATATTCAAAAATTGGTAAATGGAGAAAAGCATGAAAGAAAATGATTAATCTACTCTAAAGATTTGGAGATTTTTTATTATTTTTTTTATAAATTATTTAGCACAACTTCTATTATTTATAATAGTAAACTAGCTAGTGAAGGTAGTAATGAGTGGAGAAATCTTAGTGTCAAGCTCAAAGTCCAAGAAATAAAGAATGAACATATTATTAGTAATATGAGCTCGTGTATTGATTTAGAAATGAGATTGCATTAAAAAACAATTGATGAAGTTGTGGGTGTATGGAACAAATTGATAGAGATAAAGTGTAATGGAAAAATGTATTGTCAAGAATTATTGACGTGATCGAAACTCTTTGGAAAAATAATTTAGGGGAACAAATGAAAATATCTATCAAAAAAGTAACGGTAATTTTTAAAGCCTAATTGAAATGATTAATAAATTTGATCCAACTATGCAAGAACATATTTGAAGAATAAGCATGTCGAAATTCATAGTCATTACCAACATAATATACAAAGTGAATTATTTAACTTATTGGCAAGTGAAGTCAAGAATAAAATTGTTAAAGAGATTAAAGAAACAAAATACTTCTCAAAATATTAGGGCCTCTCTTTAAGGTTTGGCTTTAGGTCCCCGATCTTGTTGATCGGCCCTGATCCTGGAGATATACGGGCAAAGCAATTCAATGTATAAGTTCATTGAATTTGAGAGGATATTTTTTTTGGAATCAACTGTTTGATACAGACTTGTAATGCAAAATGCATAATGAATAAATTTATAAAAATTGCTTGAATGGGTGTATCCATTTTTCTCAAACAATCAACTGATGAGTGGATCCCAAATTTAGTCTGAAAATGATAGGACATGTTTTATTCTTCAAGGGAGATTTCGTCATTTTTAAGCCAAATGCTACGAATACTAAGGTGTTTAAATGTGAGGGTAATAGTAAAGTGAGAGAAGTATTGACAACACTTTTGAATTTGGTGTAAATTATTAGTCTCGTTTACTAGTTATTGATAATCTTAAAAACACCCATTTACTTGACTAACTAAATTTAGATACACTTCCGATCTGGATCTGTCACATGACATAACAAGTGGTCTTAAACTCTTATAGGAACATGAAATTCTTAATAAAAGAATCGAGAGATACTCCTAAACTTGGTGAGAATTTAAAAGAGAATTTTACTTATATTACAAGATCGAATTGTATTTAAGTTCAATTAGTTAAGTAAAAATGCATTTTTAAGACTGTCAATGATTCGGGAATGAATTATTAATTCACGTCGTTTTTAGGATGGTTTTCCATACTTCTCTAACAACTGAAGGGGGCTCTCTTTTGAAGTACATGGGCCATGCCAACACAAAAAAAAATGGGCAAAATGGTTTGGTGGATACATATACTTGTACCAGTTTGTATTGTGAACCCTTCTACTTATCTCTTTGTCATCTGAACCCTTACACTTAATAAAACACAATATATCAAACCCCTCTGACCATTGACCATGCTTATGTGGCATTAATATGGCTGAGTTGGCAAGAGAGTGAGATCACACGCCTATTAAAGCAAGTGAACATCATATTTAAATGTTAAAAATATTTAAATTAAAAGAGTAAAATAATACATAAAAAAGAAGATTGAAACCTTTCTTCTTCACCCAACAACCCACATTTTTCAGCTATCTCCATTTTTTCCAACCCTCTTTTTTTTCTTTCTTTCATCTTCTTTAGGTGGTCTGGTACACCAGAGGCGGCAAGGAGTATGCTAGTACACCGGAGGCAACGAGGAATTTTCTGGCCTTCTGGTACGCCAGAGAGGATGGAGAGCATAGGGGGTCCCTGGTGGTTCGCAAGAGTCGTCGATGGTAAGAAAAAAGGAAGACAGTGGAGAGGGGAACGAGGCTGGTGAGGGGCAAGGAGCTGGTGCGGCGACTTATGGTTTTGGGATTTGTAGAGGTTGGAGAAGGATGAGGTAAGAAAAATGATGAAAGCGTGCGACGAAGACGGAGACAGATGAGGGAGAGAGTATTTGTGGTCTCGCCGGCAAGAGGAGTGGTGGCAACGGCAAATTTCTCCGGCGATTGGGCCTTTTCACGGTGAAAATGGCAGATGATGTAGGGAGACCCAAAATTTTAATTTAGAAGACTAATTAATTTATTTTTCGTAAAGTTTTAAACAAAACTTTATGATTTTGTCCAAAAAGAAATTATTATAAAAAATAAAAATTGATGTGGCAAACTTTATCTTACATGGAATATGACATCAGCGCGATTGAGAGTCACGATGAGTTGAAAGGGTTCAACACGTTGAGTTTAAATGAGTTTGAGGGTTCAGATGACCAAGGGGTAAGTAGAAGGGTTCACAATACAAACGGGTATAAGTATAAGGGTCCACCAGACCATTTAGCCAAAAAAATGAGTGTATCGGCCTAAACAACATAATCTTAAGTGGGGAAATTTTGCGGATAAGTAAACGTATACTAGTTAATTATTTAACATAGCTATAGTTTGAATTAATTATCATTCGTCACTAATTTTCAAGAAAAAATTACGGGGCCGAGTTTCAATTGTATAAACGAGTAATTTTCGGAATTTGTATAACTATTTAAAGTTCAGATGTTTGTGTTTGTATAAATTTGTTATTTCGAATTTATACAAAAATAAATAAAAATCAATTGATACTAACTAGTTTATACAAATACGAACGAAAATAGCTAAATTATACAAGTAGACGTGAAATATACAGTACATGCGAATTATACAAATGAGGTCGCCCATAGCAGGTTAAACTATAGCTATAGCCTGTAAATATGTAAACTATAACTAAGAAGCTTAATTAAGTTTATTATAGTTACTATTTGTGAAATTTCCTCAAACTTAAATTGTTTGGTGGGCTCAAACGTGATCCAACAGCATCCATCTAATGTTTGTATTTTCAAATCCAAATTTAATTATCTTTGTTATATTCATATATCATTCCCTTAGCAATATTAGAGCCATATGCGTAATATTGATCATAATATATTTTATTGTACTTACGAGATTGACGATTACCATGCCAAATCTCTAATTACACAAAATATTTATAAATTATATATGCCAAGGGAGAGGACTGAGGAAATAATACTAAATTTGTATCGTTCATTTGGCCTATCTATGATGCATTATCATTTATCGTCCCTTGATGAGTGAATTTTTTTTCCACAAAATACCCGGTAGGCGTTAGGTATACTATATTATTAGAGGTTATACGTTGAATATCTTCAGGATATACAATTCACGTATTGTATCTTAATAGCACCTTCAAAGTTTGCAATTATGTGAATTGTATATCACTTAAGTATACAAAATTTTATGCATAAATTCTGTAAATGGACCTATAATTTTTTGACTCCACTTAGATAATCATGTATAAGTCCTTGTTTTCTGCTTTGGGCTAATTGTTAACAGGACTCTATTTATTTGAACCCAATGGACATGTCCAAAAACTTACTTGTTAGCCCTGATTTCTTCTTGGGTTTTTGGTTGGACCTATGCACAAACCAGAAACAGTTGTTTTTATTAAATAGAAATATTTACTACTAACCTTTATCGTGAAATCAGTTATAATACCAGCTAATTGAGACGAACATTTTTTACTGTTGAGACTTCTTAATTAAGCTTAACGATGAGTAACAACGAACAAACATTATTGTTTTTCATGAATATGAATGGAAAGAAAGATGAGCATTCATCCTTTTAGGATTAGCGAGATGTGGATGATCATTCAATTTTTAGTAATTGGTTATTGTAATTGGCTACCATAGTTATTCAACTTTGTTCAGAGTCACTCAACTTTGCCAAGTTAGTATTCGTAGTCATTTTAACTATACCCCTTAATAGCAATACTAGGTTAGCTATGATAATATATATATATTTCTTGAAGAATTGAGAAAAGAAAATTCTAAAAAACATGAACCACATAGATCATATAGGAAGTATTTTTTTAACAAAAGACAAATCAGTGATGAATATGTGGAAATTCAATTATCAAATTAAACTCACAACTTGCCCAATGGCCAGTCCAGGTAAAGGTAAAAAAACATGATAGGCCCAATAACAAAATTAGATGCCCAGGCCCATTAAGAAAGAGGCAGCTTAAATTCCAAATTCCCCCTAATTCTTCCTTCACTCAGTTGTTCAAACTTGCCAATCGCAAATCCATCGCTGGGAAAAAGGTAACTCTTCAATCTCCATTGCTTCTCTTCCATTTCTTCTTTTCAATTCCCACAAAACCCTAGTTCTATCTATATACTATACGTATTTATATAGGTTATACGCTTCCGGTAATACTCTTATCTCTGTAAAACCCTAAAATGGAGTGGAACCCTGAAACCGCACAATTTCTCTCCCAATGCTTCCTTAATACGCTATCACCGTTACCGGAGCCTCGCCGTCGAGCTGAAACAGCACTTTCTGAGGCCTCCGAGAGATCTAACTATGGTCTCGCCGTGCTTCATCTTGTAGCTGAGCCTTCTGTTGATGAGCAGATCCGTCAATCTGCTGCTGTTAACTTCAAAAACCACCTCAAGGCTCGTTGGGCTCCATCACCTCCTAAAGAACCCAATCTTCCAGCATTAAACCCCATTTCCGACCCTGAAAAGGAGCTTATTAAGAGCTTGATTGTTTCTCTCATGCTTAAGTCCTCACCTAAGATACAATCTCAGCTCAGTGAAGCGTTGGCTGTGATTGGAAAGCATGATTTCCCAAAAGCTTGGCAAACTTTGTTGCCTGAGCTTGTTGCCAATCTTGATACTTTAACACAAGCAAATGATTATGCTTCTGTTAATGGTGTTTTAGCTACGATTAATTCTTTGTTTAAGAAGTTCCGTTATCAGTTTAAGACCAATGAGTTGCTTCTTGATTTGAAATACTGTCTTGATAACTTTGCAAAGCCACTTTTGGAAGTGTTTAAAAGAACTGTGAATTTGATCGATCAAGCTGTGGCGTGTGGGGCTGCAAATGCCGCAACCCTCAAACTCTACATAGAGTCTCAGAGGTTGTGCTGTAGGATATTTTATTCGTTGAATTTTCAAGAGTTGCCGGAGTTTTTTGAGGACCATATGGATGAGTGGATGATCGAGTTTAAGAAGTATCTCACTGTGAAGTACCCTGTGCTTGAGGACACTGGGGATGATGGTCTTGCTGTTGTTGATGGACTGCGTGCTGCAGTGTGTGAGAATATTGGTCTGTATATGGAGAAGGAGGAAGAACTGTTTCAGAAGTATCTAAGCGGGTTTGTGGAGGCTGTATGGAGTCTTCTTGTGGCTTCATCTGCATCTTCTAGTAGGGAACGACTTACTGTTACTGCAATCAAGTTCTTAACCACTGTTAGTACTAGCGTGCATCATATTTTGTTTGAAAGAGATGACATTCTGGAGCAGATTTGTCAGAGTATTGTTATTCCCAATGTCATGCTGAGAGACGAGGATGAAGAGTTGTTTGAAATGAACTATATTGAGTTTATTAGACGGGATATGGAAGGGAGTGATCTTGACACAAGGAGGAGGATCGCATGTGAACTGCTCAAGGGCATTGGTATGCATTACAAAGACAAGGTCACAGCGAAGGTTTCCCTTCAGATAAAAAGTTGTTTGGGCTTGTTTTCCCAGAATCCAGACGCAAATTGGAAATATAAGGATTGCGCTATCTATTTGGTTGTCTCCCTTGCCACTAAGAAGGCAGGTGGTAGTTCAGTATCAACTGATCTTGTAGATGTTGAAAACTTTTTCGGGTCAGTTATTGTACCAGAGTTGCAAAGTAGGGATGTGAATGCCTTTCCAATGTTGAAGGCAGGTGCATTGAAGTTCTTTACTATGTTCCGAAATCAGCTGCCAAAGGCTGTTGCAATGGCATTACTTCCAGATGTCGTGCGTTTCCTTGCTTCAGAGTCAAATGTGGTTCATTCTTATGCTGCGAGTTGCATTGAGAAACTGTTGCTAGTTAAAGATGATGGGACACGAGCAAGATATACAGCTGCAGATATTAGTCCCTTTTTGTTAGTGTTGATGACTAACCTTTTTAGTGCCCTAGAGAAGCCAGAATCTGAGGAGAATCAATATATAATGAAGTGTATCATGCGAGTGCTAGGAGCTGCTGAAATTTCTCGTGATGTTGCTTCAGCTTGCATAACAGGTCTGACAAATGTTCTCAACAGAGTCTGCGAGAACCCTAAGAATCCTATTTTCAATCATTATCTCTTTGAATCAGTAGCTGTTCTTATTAGGAGAGCCTGTGAGAGGGATCCTACTCTTATATCTGCTTTTGAAGGGAGCCTTTTCCCTAGCCTCCAGATGGTCTTAGCTAAGGATGTGAGTGAATTCTTTCCTTATGCATTTCAGCTGTTGGCTCAGCTTGTTGAATTGAATAGACCTCCTGTACCTCAGCACTACGTGCAGATCTTTGAGATTCTCCTTTTACCCGAGTCATGGAAAAAGTCCGCAAATGTTCCAGCTCTTGTCCGATTGCTCCAAGCATTCCTCCGGAAGGCACCCCATGAGCTTAACCAGCAGGGCAGGCTGTCTAATGTTCTGGGTATTTTCAATACACTGATTTCATCTCCCAGCACAGATGACCAAGGTTTTTATGTGCTCAACACGGTTATTGAAAATCTTGGGTATGATGTATTATCACCTTTTATGGGCCACATTTGGGTTTCACTTTTTAACCGGCTGCAGCATGGCAGAACAGTGAAGTTTCTGAAGAATCTTGTTATATTTATGTCTCTATTCTTGGTCAAGCATGGGTTACAGAATCTTGTGGTTTCAATGAATGCTGTTCAGAAGGATGTATTTCAGACCATTGTGGAGCAATTTTGGGTGCCGAACCTCAAGTTAATCACAGGATCTGTTGAGCTCAAGCTGACTTCAGTTGCTTCAACAAAACTAATTTGTGAATCTTCAACATTATTGGATTCCAAGGTTCGAGGCAAAATGCTTGACAGTATTGTTACTCTTCTCTCCAGACCGGAGGAAGAGAGAGTGTTGGATGAGCCAGACGTTCCAGACTTTGGGGAGACTGTGGGTTATAATGCTACTTTCGTTCATCTTTATAATGCTGGGAAGAAAGAAGAGGACCCTTTGAAGGAAGTGAATGATCCAAAGCAATATTTGGTGGCTTCCTTGGCGAATCTTGCTGCTCTTTCCCCTGGAACATATCCACAGCTTATTAGAGAAAATCTTGAGCCAGCAAATCAAACAGCTCTTCTTCAGCTCTGCAGCTCCTACAATCTCTCAATAGCTTAAGAAGAATCCATGTGGTGGTATGCGTTCTTCTTTGTACTTTTTGATTCTGCTTAATTATCATTTTACGTTGTGGAATAACTATACCTCATTTTTAAGGATCAAAATTTAATTGTACACTTCGAGTTTTGTCTAGACTGTGGTACCCCTTTAATTATTAGACCCATTGAACAGAAGATTCCTTGAATTTGGCTTAGAATCCTGTGTTCAGGTTGTCAGCAATCATTTATTCTTTTGCTGCTCTAATTGAAGGAAGTTTAATTGGTATAATAGATATGCATGTTACTGATAAAGAAAAGATATAGTAATAGATATGCATGCAGATATTACCTAATTATCAAGTAATAGGGAAGTTGTTTGAGTTAAGAGTCTTTTATTTTTTCCTACTCTGCACTTTTAGTTAAAACTATAACAAACGAGTGCTTATTGAGTTGTAGAGTCTGGTCATGTTATTACATTAAGTGCTAAAAAGGTAAGGCCGTTTAACTTGTAAAAAAAGGTAGGACGTTTACTTTGTTTGGTCTAAGCTGCATTTCTTGTTGTGGGAATTGTGATAGTTTAGTGCACCAAGTTGTTGTTATCACATGTCCCTTCTGGTTGAAATTTGTTTCGGAAGTGTCTGTTGCCTGTTCATTGAAGTTAGTTTGCAGTTCGAGATTCTTTTCTGTGATTATTATGGAAGTTGCCAAGCCCAAGCCGTTTTTGCCTTTTGTTTAAATAAGCTTTAAGTTTATTTATGATGCTGTCCCACAGGTGTAGGAGAAAGTTTATCTTTATTACATATGCTGATGAACTTAGGCTTTGTCCACTCCCCAGGGCTTTTGTTCTATGGTAAAGATAGTACATTGCGGGATGTTCCATAGGCTCACATCATGAGTTCAAAACTTGGTTGGTGGAGAGAAGGTCTAGTATTTAAGTGGAGAAGGCAGAGGAGCTTACCCTTTATCCACCAACTTTGAAAGCTAAAAAGCCTTGTTTCTCAGTTATTGGTAGAAAACATAGTTCTTGTTTTAGAATATAGTAATTTGTGACTTATTCGAAAGACAATTTTATTTGGTATGCTGTACATAAACCAGTTTGCACCAAAAAACTTACAAATAAAAAGCTCTAAATGTAAGAGCTAGTATGCTTTGTGAAAAGATTAATCTTTTGTGTTTGGTTCCTCGCCCATGGTTTGATACCCATAGATGCTTCTTGAAATATCGCCCAAGCTGCTTTTAAGGACATGTCTGCACACTTTTGGCAAACTCATGGACGAACCTTTTTTTTTTTTTTGAGAATTCTTCAAAAAAATAAATTCTATGCCTTAGTTCATCTTTGTCCTCATGTTTCAGAAAATGATCCAAGTTGACTTCTCTTGTTTGTATGTTTTTTGTTGTGCTTCTAGCCTCTTGTGTTCTATCTCTCAATTTCCACATTCCTTTCTTTAAATCTAAAGTTGGAGCTTCTAAGTTGGCAATGTCCATGCTTCATCCAGCCTTAGTTTTGTCACTTGTTATTCTATTTGCAGGTGTCAAATATGAATCTTATTGCTTCTTTCGTCAATCAGGAATGTGATGCTTTTATGATCTTTGCATTTTGGCGTTTGCCTAATTTACTGACAAAACTTGCCTAGATTCTTTGCATAACCTATCTCACAATGCATTGGCATTAGTATGTACTGTCATTACGTTATGACTGCGTATCGTTTAGTTTTCTTGTGTCAGAATATTTCCTACATTTATCACAGATAAAATCCCAACAATTTCAACTACAAATACAGGATTCAGGGGTTTAGTGCAAATATTGTGTTTGTGCCTGTTTTTGTTAAGCCACTGCAGGATTGATGACCTTATACTAAGTAGATGTTTATCTATTAGGTCACTGGGCCACATGCCACATTTTTTATGGTCAAGGTCAGTTCAGGCGTTTGTATCTTTGTTTATCATCACTTCACTATGCTGCATGAATTCATATGCGACTTCCAGGCTTTTTATTCTTTATAAATTTGAAGTCACAGTATGGCAATTGATGATTTTCTTTTGTGAATCTTCTGGTGCACTAGGTTAAGTTGAAGTTGTTTGGGTTCAGTTTTGTGATGTTGACATTGGATCTTCGTTGTTCTCCTTGTATTCATACTTATCGGGCCCCCCACACACAAAAAAAACGTTGTACTTCTATTTGTGCTTAAGACATCAAAGTGGGTCAGGCACTTAGTTTTTACCTTGGTTGTCTAATTTTGTCTCATAGTTGCATTTCATCCCCTCATGTTTTGGTTCCTTTATTCTGTTTCGGGCTATGACTTTGCTTCTTAAGGTTTTAATCTGTTGTTTGGCCTCTGTTTTCTCATTTCAATACATACTTGTGATCTATGTTATATGCCTAATTATTCGGTGGTTGAACTCTCAGGACCTGTGGTCAAGAAGACTGGTTTGTGGAGTACATTGGAATCTGTTGTTTCTGCCCTTGCACTTGTCTGATTATGTTGCTTATGGATCTGATGAAGCATGTCGCACTTGTCTATCTGATAGGGTGAAGCTAACAGTTGATCGAGTTTGCAGCTCATCTGTTACTGTTGTGGAGTCAGCATTATGCTTTGAGTTTTCATTCTTTCATCTTCCTGTCGTCAGTGGCAGTAGCCTCTATTGCCACGGACATTTTGGCCGGAGAAAGTCTCTTTTTTGTTTTTGTTATTAGGGGGGTGGGAGTGTCCGAGCATATGTGATGATGGGGGATTTTCTTCATTTAGGATTTTGATAATGTTAATGTGGTAAAGTAAAATAGAAATGATCAAACACCTATAATATTCGGGATTGAGCTGTTGTCATAGTCATTTTGCTGTCTTGTGCTTGTCAAATTTTGTATAATGGTTGCTAAGATTTTATTTTCAATTTCATTTTGAGAATGTGCTCATTGTTTCAGTGTGTAATTAACAGGACTAGGAGATTGAATAGCAATTAGTATGTCAAGTTACCATAGAACAACCTCATCAAATGAAAGTTAATGTTTTCACGGGCATAATCTACTATTTCTTCCATGCAATCAATTTTTGGGCCTAAAAAGCCAAAAGATTCAAATTTTATCAGTGTCTATGACCACATGTGGGGACTGAATATTATACCCTTTCTTCCTACCCAAAACTAAATTCTTTTGGGATCACATCTTGTTAATTTCAAATCATACAATTAATCGTTTGATTCTTCAAATGGTTGATACTTAAGTTTCGAACTTATGCTTAGCGGGACTAGAATTTGAAGTCAAGTCCGAGAAATGTAAATTTAAAAGTTAAGTATTATTTAGAGGTATCACGAGGACAAAAAATAAAGGCCAAGCACAAAATAGGACAAAAGTGCTAATGACCCATTTCAAACTATTTCATAAAAGCAACCAAAATCGTTGTCTTTTATTTGGAACGTAACCAAAAAAAAAAAAAAATTTCCAAACGTGACGTCATCTCTTTGGCACTTCATTTTATTAAGTTTTGACATATTTAAAATCCCTCATATTTGCGGTAAATCTTTTATAAAATATTGTCAGATCATTATGTTCTTTCTTTTTTTTTCAAAATGTAAAATTCCTGCTTTAGTATAGTGTTTAGCACACGTTGCTTTAGAGATTGTTCCAAGAATAAGAGACAATCCAAACACGATAATATGATAGACATTTTTCTAAATAGGCCGTCCAAATTATCAGAATACCACATAAGTAATGAATTTAATTTCTCTTTTGACCTTTCCAAGTAAATATTTTCCACCTTTGATCTCCCTATTGTATAATATTCTTTAAACTTAAAGTCCGGTATAATTAAAAAGGGAAAATCATATCATATATATACAAAAGAGAACCCTAGGCCCGCCTACGTGGTGCCGCCACAAATTAGCATTCCCTTTTAATTTATTTATTTAAAAAACTAGCCTTCTCCTTTCATGAAAAGTTGTGACTTTTATGAAGAGTTGACTTTGATGAAGAGTAGTAACTTTTATGAAAGGTTTGTGACCTTTTCGAAGGGTTGCAACTTTTCTAAGTAGTTGTGACCTTTATGGTAAGGCACAATAAACATTTGTTCACAATTTCCTTTGTTGTCTATAAAAAGAGGGATTTCCTCTCATTTTAAGACAACAAAAATTATGAACTTCTTCTTCTGCACAATTAAATATTCGTGTACTTTGCTCCTGCTGAGTGGCTCACTGACACCATTTTTTTGTATCAATACACTGATGAATAGAATCGTTCTATCCTGAGAGGATCTATTCCTTTAAACCTCGGGTACTAGAGGGGAATAATTTCCTTAAGGGGACATTATGCATTTAGTGGACTCAATGTTTTCCTTTCTGTTTCATTCTATTATTACAGATTCTGGTATGTGTTTTTACAGTCAATAATTTATGCTTATGTTATTAATTGCTATTTTGAGTACATGTTTTAAACTTTGTTGTTTATAATTTTGCAAAGTTATTGTTATAAATATTTGTTAGTACATATTAAATAACACACGTTTATTGAGTATTCACACAAGTTTTTCTACTGAAATTGTTGAAGGTACAATAAAAGAATTCTTTAAAGATCTATGTTACCATCTCTTGAAGACAAAATTCATATTTGGAATGTCATTGTAAGGACATAAAGACCTTAAAAACTTTATCGCACCTTCATGTAGGAAGTGAACCAGGAAAAGAAGACAAGAATAAATAAACTTCTGACACGGGTTCAAGGATGTGCCGGATGACCTATAGAGGAATATGACTAGAGTGGAGTCTCTCTTAATCCCAAAGACATAGATAACTACACAATAAATTAATTGCTCATATTCAATATGAAGTATGGACAGATTCTCAAGTTTACTATAAGTTGTAAATACTTTCTTGAAGTAATAGATGTGTTTCTCGACACTGCAATTGAAATAGACGTGTAGTTTCAAATTGAACTCCATCACTCTGATATGTTGATTTTTAAAATTCACCCAAACAAACTGAATAGTTTTGTGTAATATGTTTCCCTTTCAAGTATATATAATAAGTTAAATTGTTGTCCAATATGATACATTATGCCTTTATTACTTATGATACATTTAAATGGGAAACTTTAAAATGATATATGTAAAGCAAAAGGTATGACTGAACTTTCTACACGTTAGAATTAGAATATTTATTCACTTTTTTCAACCTTTTAAAATTTATTTATTCCTTCACCAACGATTATTTATTTATTAGAAAACTTAATATCTCAGGTTGATGTTCATTTGATTCTCCAAAAATATCAAATAGTAACACTTTCTGGAAGCGATAAATTATAAAATCAAATTAAAGATGATTGATTGAAGGATAACTGATAAAATGTTGTAATTATCATTTTCATTTACATTATTAATGTTCGTTAAATGCTACAACCACAATTTGATTTAATTGTAACCCGTAGCAAAGTGTTGCCATTCTCCTCTCTCTCTGAAATTTTTGCTCGCCACTCTCTCTCTCTCTCCCCCTTGCTTCTCTCATTTTATACAAACACAAATGTTTAAATTGTGTTTATGTTTGTATAAAGTGAGAGAAAATTGTATATACACATGCAAATACATATATTTTCGTCCTATACACTTATAATTATACAATACAAATCTTCTCCTGCCCAGTTCTCTTTTGCCTTTCTCTCTTTCTCGCTTTTTACAAACACAGATTATACAATGTATAATTTGTGTTTGTATAAAGCGTGCGAGAGAGAGATTTGATATACAAACGTTTTATTTCGATTCAATTGTATACAAATACAAATTTTATGCAGATATACAAACACATAAAATTGAATTGCGAGGTTGCCAACGATTTATAAAAACGAGAGGCTGCCAACGAATAATACAAATGAGAGGCTGCCAACGATTTTATATAAATCTGATGCCCCTAGCGATTTTATATAAATCTGATGCCCCTAGCGATTTATACAATCTGATGCTCCATAACAAATATAAAGTTTGTTATGGAGTGCAATTATGAAAACTATAGTTATAACATATTTATATGATTTTTATTTTTGTTAAATATGAAATTTAGTAGTGTATAATTTTTCCACACGTTAGGGATTTCTCTTTCTAACATCATGCTAATGACATGCTGAGAAATACTTAAGGGGTTGTTTGTTTCATAGATTATATATATAATGCTGAGATTAATAAGAAATACTACTGATATTATATGCTAAAAATAAAATTAATAACCGATACCAAATTTGTACTGTTTTTTTTTTAAAATGTGTACTTGTTTTGAATTGAAAAATGATTTCTTTAATGATTTACAGTACATACAATAATTTGGCACTCTTTTCTTAAGTGACTTTTAATGGTGTGACACCACATCTACCCCTTTTTGATTAACTTTATAGAGTAGCTCATAAGGTATTAAAGTTCAATAATATATTAATCATGATTAACCACTTTTATTCCACATTGTCTTAATTAAAAATAGACTTTGCAAATGCTGTGAATCTCCTCCACCCTTGCCTGATTTCCATTTCAAATACTATATTTTAAATTGTTTGAATTTTGTATAGTTTTTCCGTACGTTTAATTGGGATAAAAAGAAAAATAGAATTGTTAATTTGAGGAGTGGAAGAAAAAAAGAAGATTAGTTAAGTTATGTCTTTTGCTTCATATAGGAAAAAATGAAGTAAAAGTAGTAAGATTAAATAATTTCTAAGGTAGCTTTTTAGTTAATCAGAACAATATTATACTTCACTTTCAACCAGAAAATTTATTATATCAAGTAAATTATGAATAATTCTCAAAAGAAAATGAATCAATTAATTGTTCATCTAGGAACTAAACATCACTTCGAGGTATGATGGGATAAATATGATTTAATTTTTACCGTGAATTAGAAGTCTCAAGTTAAAATTCAAAAAACAAAAAAATCATATATATAAACAAGGAAAAATTATGCGTACAAGCAAATATATACTAATTAATTGCTTAATATAGTTATAGTTCGCCTTAATTACAATTTGCGACCTACTTTTACCTATAATTACGCGGCTCAGCTTTTTAGTTTTGTATTATTTGTTTGTATAATATAATTTGTATAAGTTTTGTATAATTCGGAATTTGTATAACTGTTTACACTTTTGATGTTTGTAATTGTATAAATTCGTTATTTCGAGTTTATACACAAATAACTGAATTATACAAATCCGCAAATAATTATACAAACTATGCGGCTTAAACCGTAGCTATAGCCCATAAATATGCAAACTATAGCTATGGAGCATAATTAAGTTTATTATAATGACTATTTGTGAAAGTTCATAATACGATACGATACGAGTTCGGATAAACCGAATTTCAAATATTCTTTTTAACAACTTTTCTTTTGAGGAGTGTTTTGGTTCTTCTAAAGTTGAGTAGTAAGTGGTAGAAAAAAATTTGTGGAAGGAAAGTTGCCAAAACA